AGTCAAACTTAATTTCTTACTTAACTTAAAGTTACCTGAATAGGTGACTTAAGTCAATAATTTGGTCTTATTTCTCATAACTGAACGTCTTTTCTCAATTATATTTGAAAATTTGCCAAAGAGAACTGCAGATTGGTAACACCATCAACTAAAACTCTTAATTCCTTTGCATGAAAGTTTTTACTCCGTAATTTCTCTTCTTCTTTGTTTTTTACATTTTCCATCTAAGAGGTGAATAAAATTCAATATAAAGAAACTTTTAAAAGCATTCTGTAATATCGATCGGTTTCTACATACATATGAGATTGATAAGGTATGATTTTCACGGTAACAGTAGTACACGCTTTATATTTAATAGAAATGGAAACCGTATAACCAAAAACACGGCGTTTGGATCTAAGGAANAGACAAACAACAAAGTGAACTAGCGAAAGGATAAAAGATCAAAGTTTATTCTTCCAAAAACTCTATTAAAAGCGTCGTATTTTTGAATAAATTTCTAAAATTCACAAAAAAATCCGATCGCGCGTCCACACGTTACTTGCAATATCATTATGAGCAGCTTTATTTCTCTAAAATTTTCTCCTTAGTGATAGCTAAATATATGATGGTAATGCACTTAAAGTGCATTCGTTTTGACTTAAGTCAAATTCTTTACTTAGCTGCTAACTCGAACTTAAGTTGTGTTTTTTGAAACAGACTTCAGTGAAAAATTAAGTTTGACTTAAGTGGCACTTAACTTTAACTTAGTTTTGGACTTAAGTCATTCACTTAAGGGTCCCCCCCTCAGAAATAATCTCCGACACCATACATCCGATCTTGACGAAACTTCGCCAAATGTTTGGCTTAGTGAGTTACGAGAATGAAAAGTTTTTTTTGTCTCCAAGTCTTACCGTCTAGGAGTTTTCTAGAGATCAAGGTTCAAAAAGGACCCTGAAGTGTTTCCCAAAATTTTTTAATATACTTCGAGCTGGAGAGTTCGGGTTTGTTTTGTTTTAAACTAGACACCTAACTACATCGTCTGACCGGCGCCGATTTTTCGTCTCAAAAGGTTCTTTTTAAGAGAATAAAGAAGAAAAATACAAGTCTCGTTAAAATATATAATTACTGAAAATCTCAGCTCGTCCCGCGAAACCTCAGATCTAATAATCGCCTCCGTCTGCTAGCTAGGAAAGCCATATGTTGTGTTGGTCAGTCCAGTGACTAGATCTTGTTATAAGATAATGTAAAATCTTATGAAACCTTGTAACGTCTTGTTGTAAGATCTTCCACGATCTGATTATAAGAAGTGACAAGATCTTGTAAGATCTTATATGACCTGGTGACAAGAAAATGCATAGAATTCAATAACGTCTCGTACAAGATTTTGTAAGATCTTACAAGATCATATGAATTCTTGTCATAAGATCTCATAAGATCGATCACTCATCTCTACCACATAAATTTTGCGACGATACATAGTATATATATAACATTTTGTGGAGAGAATCTGCGACACAATTTACTGCGATATATAAATGCGACACATTATTTTTTACTGTAATTCTTTGTTGACATATTTATGTTATCTAGTATACAAGAACCAAACGACTGGAAGTGTACATGTGGTGAGATCAATTTTAGGTCTCGCCCAGTTTGCCGTAAATGTTCTAACAATAAAAATTCCGTCGTCCCTCAAGTCCAACGAAAACCAGGGGATTGGAATTGTTCTTGTGGGCAGCTAAATTTTGCATCTCGAACATCTTGCTTCAAATGTAATAAAAGTAAACAGATTACTCCCTCTACATCACAAATCGCAGCGCCACAACAATCCGCAGGGGACTGGACTTGTGATACGTGTGGGAATTTGAATTGGGCCGTACGTCTCGCGTGCAATAAATGTGGTAAGAACAGAACGGAAGTGTACAACCACCCAAGTACACCGATATCTCGTAAACCAGGCGATTGGAATTGTGAAGGATGCCAACATGATAATTTTGGTTCACGTGTTGTTTGTCGTCAATGTGGTGCTGCTCGACCACAAAATGAAAAATCGACTGAGCATGTTAGTGGTGATTGTGTTGTTTGCTTTGATAAACCAATCGACTCTGTGATAACGACATGTGGACATTCGGCATTGTGTTTAGAATGTGGCAAGAAAATTACACAATGTCCTATATGCCGGCAAAATTATACTTCTGATCAAATAATTAAATTTTATAACGTACATTAATCGTTGGCTGACAAGTTTTTATTTATCTATTTTTGTTATTCGAGATATCCACTTAAGTTACTCGAAGCATGAGTTACTTTGTACTAGGCATTTATATTTAAAGAAAAATCTAACAGTAACTTAGATGACTTATATCGGCCAACCTTGACGGTATAAGTCATCTAAATCTTCCTGATCTAATTTTTTCGGTTTAGGAACGATGCGCACGAACAATGTTACGCACGGGGTGTTTGAAAACGCACGAAATGACAATTTGAGTAATAGGAATTTTCGAGAAGTAAAAATAATTGGTATTCAAGAATTTATTTATTATGAGCTAGAATATTAATTAGATCAATCATATGTGTATGTGGATTTAAAACTCAATTTAATAAGTATTTGTCTAAATGTTGGCAATCGTCTTTCGCGTTGTTTGACCAACGTTAGCATGTAAAATTTTTTTACTAATAGTTGCGTAACTTGTCGATGAATCTCTATTATATTGGATGTAAGTATTATAATATACAGCCTAACTGTTAACAAATACATCAGTTAGCGTGAAAAGACTATTAGAAGTTTAGAAATGCTGAAGTGCTGCTCATCAAAACGTCGATTCCATACTTCAGCCTAATTATCTGTTCGGATTAACAAATCTTTTGTCTGATCATGTATATTCGAAAACTCACTTGAATGGTGTTCTACACCCGTTAGCTCGTTACTGACCGACATAGTTATCTTCAAAATAATTAAGTATTTCTTACAACGACAGATTTAATTCTGCAATAAGTCGGCTGAATCCGTTAATTACGTTGCCTGGATGAATGAAGTATAACGCAACAATCTTGTGAATTATAATCTAAGTCGTTTTCATAACGATTTTGGAATCCTCGTGATTGTAAAATAATAAAGAACGTAGATAATTGAAAAGTGATACAAATTATGAAATAGAACCATATTTGTAATTGTCGATGCATGCTTTGACGTAAATGATAATATCCTGATACTCTGGATATATCTAAAAAACTCAATTCAAACACATTAATAGCTGCTTTTTCATAATCCAGTAAGATGGATTCAGGATACAGTGCACAGTGTGCATTTTTGTATAGAGCAGGCAGACATATGCTGTAGAAGCGATATGAAAATCAATAAACACGCTTTTCTACAGGTTTTCATATATGTTCTTTCCAATGGTGAGATTTTCAGAACTCAAAAAATATTTTTGCATATCGAAAACCTATAGAAAAAATGTGTTTATAGACTTTCGCACTTTTGCTAAAACAAATATCCAGATTCCCAAGCAAAATGTGCTGCGAGGAGGCTTTCAACTCTATAATTCAATTTGATCGAAAATATTTCTGCAGAAAAACTAAGAAGCTATACATCAATCGATGCAATTTCTTTCGCTGATCCCGCTGATTTTCTGACACTATGACTGATTTGTTCACACTGCGTATTATTTGCAAATAAATATCTTTCACTCTGTGCGGTACAGACTCATTTATCACATAACCGTGATTTTTCAGCTAAATTTTGGAAATGCGATTTATGAAAAACTATAGTAGCTGGAATAAAAGATTTTGTGCCATCAGATAGAGCGGCTAGAGACCAAAAGAGATAATAAACTGAGTAAACCCAAAAGAGATAATAAAACGAAAAATGTGAAATTCTTGTAATCCCAAAAGAGATAATAAGTTTAATTAGTAATCAAGAACGAAAAAAGAATAGAGAATGAAAAAATAAACGAAACTTATGGATATGTATTTTATTCTTCATGAAATCAAATCAATCAGAATCAGTATCATTGTTTAATTTTTCATGTTCATGTAAAGAACATTAAGCTTTTCTTCGTGTTGAACGTTTATAAATTTCAATATCTTTTGTTATTTCATATCGTTGTTTAGCTGCAATAAGCTGTTCTTCATGAATTATACTAGATTTTGCTATTTTTTTTGAAGGTAAGCCTTGAAAAAGTTCTTGTTCACGATTATAACGTGCATTTTCCTCTTCTCTTTGTATATTTTTCACCCACATCTATATATTCGGGTGTGTCGATAATTTCCTAAAGTAGAAACAATAACAGCTGTTAGAATTTTCCTGCGTTCGTAATATTCGAATGAAAACACTTACGAATTTTGAGCACGATGCCATCTTTCAACATGATTATTAGTACGTGGACGTACCAATGGTATCATATAAATTCCAAAACTGGATATCAAATTTTCCGGAAATATATGTTATTATTACATAATCAGTTAATTTTATATATTTGTCATCTGTATTACTTAATGTATCAATAATTAATTCCATTGAATTATTAAGTTCATTCGTAGGTAACAATGGCAATGACATTATATTAGCTATTTCTCGTCTAATTTCTTCTTTTTTACAATCTCGAACTAAACCTAACTTTTTTATTCTTTTCCAAATATTTTTGGTAAAATGAAAATAGCAACCATTAACCATTGCATTTGGATACACATCAGAAAATGCATTATAAGCACCTTGATTTTGTACACTGTACTTAATGATTTTGATTGATTTGATTTCATGAAGAATAAAATATATACCCATAAGTTTCGTTTATTTTTTCATTCTCTATTCTTTTTTCATTCTTGATTACTAATTAAACTTATTATCTCTTTTGGGTTTACTCAGTGTATTATCTCTTTTGGGGCCAAGCGGATAGAGCACATCTTGAACTGTATCGCTCACTACTTCAATCAATTAAAAGTCGTTTTCTAATTTTTCGCCAAATGTCCACTTGAATGTACACTGCAGTGATGGCACGAATTCGACGATTTGATTCACAACTCGGTGATATGTCGAAGGAATTTTTACAACATAACAAACCGAACACAGCAGGTGTAACATGTACACGATGCACTCTATACATAACATATAGTTGATAAAACATTTCTGGCACTACCTACGAAGCATGAATATGCGTATATTTCGTCATCTATGTTGAAGAAACGCATATCTCAAAAGTATCATCAACCAAAAAGTGTATTACCATTTTCGAGAACGGATAATTGCTTCGGGCTACTAAATACAAATAAACGACCGGCATCTGAAATCAAACGAAAATTCTAAATAACAGAATGAACTTGACTTACCAGAATCACTGTCCGAACAAAGAAAACTTGATCTTGTTTTGTTAATCGACATCTAGAAATCATCATTATTAGGAACAGAGAATAAATGATAATTTTGACGACATTTGCGATTTTTCTTTTGATATGATCTAGTGCTGCTAAGCGAGCGCAGAAGCGTACAACAATATAGTAGCGATACATTATAACGACAGACCCATCAGATATGATTGTACAATAAACAAACGGTTGTCGAAAATGGGATATTTTCAACGTGAACTTAGCCGATTTTCTGAAACTATAAATCACTTTTCTCATACCCAAGTTTATAAATATACAAAGCATCCCTCATCTAAAGAGGGGCAACTTCGGCGCAGTTTAACTTGAAGACCACACGTCCCAACTTTAATAAGAGGTTTTGGGGACCAAATGACTGTTTTTGCACTTTCTGTTACCTCCAGTTGTCGAAATAAAGGTGTATTCACACTGGGCAAGAATTGGACGTTTCTTGGGGCTTAGTTTAAGGGAAACGATAGGTAGACTAGTGAGTACTGATTATATATTTGTGGAAGAAAGTTTTCACATTTTTGTCCTCTAGAGCAACGCTGGCAAGCGTTATTATTCTATTTCAATGTAACGATTTGGATAACATGCACACTTGGTAATGACAGTATAAAAATAGGTGAAAAATTTAAGTATGTTTTAATATATTTTTAAAATTATTCTTAATAAACTCATGATTATGTTCGACAAAGTTAATGATGTTACAGCTGCAATTACACTAAGATTTTTAGAGGAAGGTATACCATTATTTTGATTTCATTAATGTTAATTTTGTGATGTTTCATCGATAGTATCACAAAAAAAAGACCACTTGGAAAAAACACTTTTCTCCACTGGTAAGATCCAATAAAACATCTTTAGAGGCATAATCATTCCATAATTCAAAAGTATAGGTCTTGTATACAGATCAACGAACGGAGCATAAGCTCAACTTAAAACTACCATTATGCGAACGGGAAATCGACATTTTAATAAGAATTCTTATATGAATAGATATGGTAGAAACGTTTATTTGTATAATCCATATCTGAAACACAATGCAGTAGAGAACTGTCCTTACGACAAAACCATTGAGATGAAATCTACTGAGATACACTTTTCATGAATCATCTTTCTTGAGCTTTTGGTTCAAAGAATTTTATACCGCTTTGACGAGCTATTTGAGTTACAACATTGGACAGACTCTCAATGTGTGTATGTTTTCATTATTCTCTCTCTTTCACATCAATTACACCAAGCGCGAAATGCTTGATCACTGACAGAACCATGATTAAAATTGAAATTATAGACCAAAGCTCAAATTTATTAAAAGCTTTTCACTTCATTAAAGTTAATCTCGTTTTGAATGAAAGAAGAACGAATTAAACGACAGACTAAATCAACAGTCGTTCATTTTACAGAAAAAGATGGTGTCATACACGCATCAAAGTCAACAACGGGTTCCATCGATTTCGGAACTGTTCAACATGATATTAATCATCTATTCTCTTCTTGTGATAAAAAAGATCATTATTCATCTAGAACATCGTGGCGATCACGAATCGATAATTATTATACGATTAACACTGTTGTTGAATCCAGATATTTCAAATTTCTAATGTTATTCATCGTATTTACCAATACACTCGCGATGATATTCGAATCGTATCATTTTATATTTCACACGTATCGTTTTTATTTTACTGCACTTGAGCGTATTTATCTTGTTTTTTATATCATCGAGACTATATTAAAGATTATGGCAATGAACTGTAGATATTTCAAAAGTTTATGGAATTGGTTAGATTTAATTATGATATTTACTGGTATACTTGATCTTGTAACAAATGAGCTTAGTAGTGGAAATGATGATTACCAATTGCAAGGATCATCGATAAGTACAAAAACAACATCAGGACTAAGAGGAAAAGCAGTAAAAGAAAATTTAGAAAAAATAAACAGATTTCTGAGAGTACTCAGAGTTCTGAAAGTTTTAAGAAGTTTTCGTGCACTAAGAGTTCTTAGAACAATTAGATTTATCAAAGCTATTCATACAATTGTCAAAACATGCTCAAAAGCTGTACCAGCTATGGTAAGCTACTTCGATATTGATAAAAATGAAATCTACTGGTGCTTCTCTTCATTCTAGGCTTCTATAGCGTTTATCATGATTATACTGACGTATATTGCAGCTTTAATTGCTAGAAATATTTTTAGTGGTCCATGTCCAGAAAAATTCGGAAATCTTGTGAAAACATTTTTCTCGTTATTCACATTGCTGACACTCGATGACTGGTATAGTATTTATCAAACATGCCAAGAACGTGATTTAGCATCATTACAATTGATATTTTGTCTTACATATATTTTTTTTATTAATTTTGTTTTATTAAATTTATTGATGGCTGTGTTAGTAGATAGTTTTCAACAGACATTAGAAGATACGGATCAAAAAAATGAAAGTATGCATCCTACATTGACGAATTTATCAAAGATCGCAGCAGAACATCGTAACGGAGAACATGAAGATCGACTTAAAGATAGTTGCTGTTCAAATATTGATAAAAAAACCATTAATGATATGTATAAAACAGAAGACTATAAATTTGAAGATATTTTAAGTGAGGGTGGCAATGAAACGCAAGATGTTTCTATGCCAAATGATAGGAATGTTGATGAAAGAGAAAATAATTCAGGAAATTTAACTACAAATATAGACTATAGAAGACAATTAAGTTTATGGAAGATACAAAACATAATGCAGAGATATTATATGTTACTCGAAAGTCTTGAATTTAGAATGGAACGTCATGAACGGCTAGCAAAGGTAGTACAAAAAGGAATAAAGTTGACGGTAGCGGAACAAGATAATAGAAAAACAGCAAAGAAGTAGCTATATACAATAAGCATTGTGTTAAACAAAATATCGGTTATTTACACTATTTATGTATGCCTCGGTTTACCCTATTTTTCATTTTGTTAGAATGACATTTATTAAACAAATAGATAAATCAATTTTTTATGAGTTCCTTCATTCGTAGAAAATGTTAACTACTAAAGAAGAAAATGAAACGATGGTACTGGTTACTTACAATGGCACGTCTCATCCATTTTCAGGGATACAGACTGCATGCCATATGCTTATAGAGATACATGTAAATCAAGAGAAATACATCAATCTTTCATGTTCGAGACGGATATTGCACACAGAGTGCCCAATTCTCCTGATTTGATAAGGAGACTCCTGATTTTCAGACTTTTCTCCTGATGAAAATTCTTCGGATTTCCGGAACTGATTTTTAAGATTTCTCCTGATTTTCAATTGTTTTCCAGCATCTTTTGTTTTTTCCAAAACTGAGATTATCAGTTTCAGAAACAGAATTTCTGGGTCAAGAGTCTAAATAATTGTACACTCATCACAAGACGAGATTAGCGCACTTCCGAACCCATCGGATCAAAATCTTCTTCCTCAATCCGCACTGTCGTTTGTAACAAATGATAATACTGTTTCATCAAAAAATATTTCAAAAAAAACAGTTTTTTGATAAAAACTATGTTTTTGAAAACGTTATTGGATTTTTTTGTTTTGCTTGTCCAAGAAACAACTGTTTGATACTCTCCTGTTTTTCTTCTGATTTCGAAAAAAAATCTCGTGATCAATGACTGCCCGACTGTGGCTTAAAATGCAGACAAAATTCACGTGTTCATCTATCATGTGACACACCTACAACTTGCCTATATACAAATGCGTCAATTGGGCTTCTGATTCTTTCCACTCATGGCTATACAATAAAGCAGATAGGTACAGTGTAATTATTCAGCGATTAAACGTAGACACCTTTACCGTACCTCATTTTGAGTTTTGAAAATTTTTTCATAGTTACATAAGAGGCTACATTTCATATTAAGCACACGATGTATACAAAAGCTTTTTGAGAGAGTCGCCTTTATGCAATAGGAAACTGAGAGGCCGGCTATATACAATTGTTTAGAAGACGAAAAAAGTTCTGTTAGAAGTATTTCTGCTTAAAAAAATATAAAGTGTAAATTTATGTAAGTCTAAACGTCAGCGATATCATTTGCCTCTTTTTCGGTGAATGCACATGATAACTGGAATAGAGATGACTTCAACATCAACGCACGTTGATAGTGCCGACGTCAATATCATTTTCCTTTTTCATACATAATAACAATACAAGATCGAGCTAAGGGAATGAAATTCTGTCGTGGCACAGTAACGCTGTCTATTTGTTGTGCTTACATCTAGCCGTCGATTCAACTATAGATTTTTTTCCGAAAAACTACCGCAATGACAAGGAAAGAATAGAAAGAAATGTCAGGCAACTAAAAACACAGTAATTTTTAAACTACCAATGAGTCGCATCTGTTCTTTTTATTGGTGAATAAGAGATGTAGAGGGAAGACAAAGAAACAAACGAACTATTCGCAATTGTGCGCTTAACTGAGTAAAATAATACAACATCTAACTCACTTCCTGAATTCGTTTTAATATGGGGCAAGAAGTAAGTGATCACTCATGCAGTATTTTAACATTTGTATAGCAGAATATTCTTGGTCGTTCGTCTGTGGGGACCAAAATTTTGTAGATTGTGGGGGGGAAAAAAGAATTGTAACCTTCGTCAACGAAGGATCTGTGAAAAATTGGATTTAGTTTGCACATTTTGAAAAAAAAGAAAAGATTTTGATCTAGGAAATATTTTCATTATTTCAGACGGAAAAAGCAATACGAACCATACTGGATCATGCTCAAAACAGCGCCTTACGTCATTTGGAACTTTTGAAATCATTCAGTAATTTATACATAAAAGTAAGTGAGGAATATGCTCAAAACTGTTTCTCTTAGAATTGTCATCGATTTTTTTCTTTTTCAAGAGTAGTCAAGATGTGTTTCATGATGAATTTCTTCGTTGTATTGCCATTGCACTTGTTAATCCGCCAACATCAAAATGTACAATAAACGTACTCAATTTCATATCATCATTTTTAACGCTAGAAATTCAAGGCATGGATGAAACATCATCAAGTGTTACAGGCGATTTGTTTAATCCAATTTTACCACGTGTTATCGAATTTTTTGCCGAAGTACTATCTTATATAATATTTTTTAATATATTGTTAACCATCATTTTCTGTCATTTTAGCAAAAAAATAATTTGCTTGAAAATGTACGAGGCAACATTTGTGTTCTTATTTATCAAACGTTAGAAAAAATGGTCGAAGATGCTGAATTAGATGAAAAGCTATTCGAATTATTAGTAAATGTTTGTCTTGAATTAATGAATGATAAAAATGTTCGTGTTCGTTTACAAGCAGCTAAATCAGCGGGAAGACTGCAGAACACAAGAGATATTGACGATTTGATAACAAAACGTACGTTAAATTTTTGTGTTTATGTCCTCCAAAACTTTTCTGTGACAATAAAGAAACTTTCCATTTTGATTAGGTCTCATATGGCTTATGGATCATGATAGTAGTGCAGCTGTTCGTAAAGAAGCATTAGTCACAATAGCTATAACACGCACAAATCTTCCACCTATCATGCGTCGTTTAACAGATGTTGATAAAAATGTTCGTCTCGCTGCATTCAGTGTATTTTCAACAAAAATTCAATCAATGAAAGTATTAAATTTAAAAGATCGCTGTAAAATATTAGAATTGGGTATAGATGATGTTGAAGCTGATGTTGTTCACGGATTTGTGCATGTTGTTGTTAAAACATGGATTGGTACATTGGAAAATAAAACAATATTAGGTCTATTAAAAATGATTGATGTCACGGCGCTAAGTGAACAGACGGGAAAAATGTTAAAAATGTTATTCAAAGAAAATTTAGATAAATATCACGAAAGTTTTTGTCAGGAATTATTGAATGAAAAGTAAAGTCTATCAATATGTCAACTAAATTATATAATTATATACGATTTATTTTTCAGAAAATTGATACCAATCGACAAACTGGATTGTGAAACTGCGTTCTATTGGCAACATTTGGCCATGTTCTTAACGGAAGAAGTTAAACAGAATCAAGACAATGATGATATTACTGATAAATTAGATTCAATATTACCAGAGCTAATTGATTTAGTTGATATTATTTATGAGTATGTTAGATTTAAACATTTCTTCTAGTCTTGTTTAAAACATGCTTTTTAAATTTGTTTGAAGATTTATTGCATCTTACCATAACGATTCATCGACATATGCTGTAGCAAATGAAATTAACTTTACAATTAATTGTCTATTGAATATCATGATGTTGTGTAAATTTGAAGATCTTGTTGGAAGGTATAGATACTACTGTTTTTTAGTTAAAGAAACATACTGTGGTTCTATTCGACATTTTTGCATGATAAAATCTTTTTTTCATATCATAAAACAACTCTTTTTTTTGCTCAACCGGAAACACTCAGGTTTTCAAGTGTACATTGTAAAAAAACGAATAATTATCATTAGTTTATCATGCATTAATAGCAAAATTTTCAGATTTTATAAGCTTTGGTCTCCAATTTCATTTAAGTATTCTATCTTTTATAGTAGATGATTAATACATGATTTTGTTTATGCATGCAGAAATGTTTCCATTGCCTTTTTTATTTGTTCATTGCAAAAATTTAACCTTGTATAAATTCTACTCGTTTCCATACCAAAATAATTTTCTATGGAACAAAGAAACTAAACATTTTAATTTCCTTTTCTATCTGGCGATTTTGTGCTTATACATGAAAGGCCCAAATCGTTCTCTCTTGTGAAAGCTCTGAATTAAGATATAACATAGTAGATGCTATATAGTATTTCGATTACTGTTGATTCATCATACAAACGCATCAAATCTTAAGACGATCTTAATAAAATTCTTGTAAATTTTTGATTTTTCTAGCGAGTGTTTTGTGCTGCATGTCAGAAATTAGAATTTGAAGATAAAATTTTTTTGTTATTTAGACATGCAATCGAAGGTTTATGTCGAGATTTATTTTTTATGGAAGAGATTGCACCATCTACATATAAAAATGTAATGAAAGTATTTAAACTAGTTGAACCAAAATTTCAGCATCGTCTGCGTAAAACAAATGAAATGATAGCTGATATTCAACAACGTTATCATAGACAGACAGATGATGTTCTACGTGATAGAAAAAGTGTTCAAGAAGTATGTTATCTCGGCTATTATTTAAAAAAAAAAACATCAGATCAAAATTATGTTTTTTAGTATACCACACTTCAAGCACATGCATCCGCACTTCATGAATCAATACAACGTGCCAATGATGAAATAACGACAGATATTTGTGAAATTGTTCGTTTACGTAATGATTTAAATGATGTTCGTAATCGAATTGAATCATTTGATCGACAACAAAATGAAAGTGGAGCATCACAAAATACAACATCAAATATAAATTTATCAAATGATCGATCAACTGTACGTAAATGATTTTCTTATATTTTAAATTTCAATTTAACAATATTTCTATTCAATAGAACGATTATAAAAATCAAGCATTAATGAAATGTTTAACAATTTTAAGTGAATTTTTGGGCACAACAATGCCCAATAAAACATTACCAACAGCATTCATTGAGTCATCACGTGATCTGGTAGTGAGAAACGCTTAAATGAAAAAGATGTTTTTATAAAACATTATCCATTTTTTTTTCAGGTGTTATCAAGTATAATGACTTCACACGATATTACTGTTCGTCGATGTGCTGTACGTGCACTTGGTTTATTATATGCATATGAGAAAACTTTAATTACAGGAAGCATTCAGTTATTACTTCAGGTTAAAATTGTTTTATTTATATAATTATTAAAGATGTCTAGTATATCATTTTTATCTTTAGCTCATTTTTACTTTTACATATCCGTTTTTTTAGGTAATTGTAAATGATGCATCTCAGGTTGCTATCGAAGCACTACATTCGTTAGGTAATACATTTATTATACATAACGGAGTTGAAATGAAAAAGAATACAACTGATGAAAAATTTGCAAAATTAATTGAAGAAGGTTTTTGTACTATTGGTGATATGATTAATAGTCGAGTAAGAGTAACACTAAATTATCAAGATGTTTATTAAAATTATTTTCTTTCTCTTCTTAGCTATTACAAGTTCGTTTAACAGCAATAGTATTTATGATTAAATTATTTTTTATTGGTCAAATCAATGAAAGTCAATATTTTGCTCAATTAATCGTTGCTTGGTACGATCAAACTACAGATGCAAAAACTGGCGGCATGTTGACAACATTCTTTCCAGCTTATGCAGATAAATTTTGGTAATGATGTTAGTTGATCTTGATAATTTTAATAACTGTTGTTCATTCTTTTAGGCAAAGTGATTCATATTTATTTAATGCACTTCAACCATCAATTGATGGATTATTAAATAATGAAAGTACAAAAAACGAACCAAGTTATATTAAAGATGTTATTAAGTTATTTTTACAATTACATCAAATACGTGAATGTTCCGTTATAAAAAATCTACGTGGAATGCCACCCACCACACAGCCACAATCCATTCATGTGAACGAGAACAATGAAAATATTGATGGATCAGCTAAAACTGACCTTGATATAACGATACAACATCATTTGAATAATACTGCATCAGCACCGCCAGATATGCTTCTAATTGAGAAACAAAAACATGATGTAGGTTTAGTATAAGGAGATATATTGGATAAAAAACTTGATTTTCACAAGCTATTTTCATGTAGGCACGTTTAAAATATCATTTTCATGTGGCAAAAGTTATTTTGGAATGTTTAAAAACAGCTACAAATGATGATTTAATCAAATCACTTGTATTAGCATTTGCTCATATAGATATATCAACAAGTGATTGTGTAGTGTTGATAAATCTAAGAAAAAAATCGAGAAAAGTCAATCAGGTATGTAGATTGTGGACAATAGCAACAATACTCTCAAAGTATCCGATAGAGATTTATAAAACATAAGATCTCATCGTGTATAAAAAGTTTATTTTCTTAATTTATCCGATACTCTGATATATTCATACATCCCTATCATACTTTTAAGATCTAAGAAATGCTATCTTTATTTTAGCACCATTACAACTTTAGTAAGTTTTATACAGGTTAGCATTTCCGATTATCGTGCTTCCTCTAACTAAAATTTCTCTATACTAGCTACCAGATTCTATTAATATTTGTGTACTAGCAATTGTTCTCTTAAAAAACTTCTTATTTTTGACCACTGTGAAACGTCTGTTAAAATTTATACTTCCTCAATCTAATCATAATGGAAAATTCTGTCCATATCCAGTAATTGTTTACTATTTTAGGATTTAATTATAAATAAACGAAAATCGAATTTGAACGCTTTTATTAAAAAGCTGAACAATCGTATCGAATTTTTGCAAGGTGCAAAACAAGATAATGATTCAACGTTAAATGCATCATTAGTATGTAGAAATAAAAGATGAATTTTTTTATTTTCTTATTTGATGTTTCTTCTTGATAGAATGAGACGGTTGCTAATTCAGCAGTACCTGCACTCTCATCACCAATAATTGATACGGTTTTTCGTGGTATTGCCAAAAAGAGTAGGTTTTACATTGATTTTAATAAAAATGGTATTTTTCATTACTTTTTCTTTGTATATTGTAGAACGATCATCTTTTCCCGACAGTATGAAAGATTCTATTTTAACAAATACAACAAGACAAACCGATAATGAAGATGATCAAATTGAAGAGAACGATGAAAATGAAAATTTTGCAACGTAAATATTCGCTTTTTTTTATTCAACCTAGCATTCACATATAATTCGGATATTTCAGACCATTGGCCTCACCCCAATCGGCAAGTTCGTCATCAGAAGAAGATGATCAGGTGACTGCTGATGGTAGTACGACTAATATTCGTTCAAATAAACGTGCCCATGCTACATCGACCGATTCAGTTCGATCACTCGATTTGCCAAATGATCGTCAAATGACATTAAGATCAAGTGCAAGAAAACAAAATACATTTCTACCACCACCATTATCAAGTGTACCATCATTCAAACAACAACGAAAACGCCATCGTTGTACGGATGATTCCACAGTGTGTACACCAGCATCTGTTCGAAGTACAAGACAAAATTCGTTTGCACGTCAAGGTTCATTTACTGCACCAAAAACAAATTCGAATTGAATAATAAACTCTACTCAAAATTTGTACAGTTTTATGAAATGAGATACTTTATTTTTGCTTATGTATAATTTTTTTCTGTGTAGTAAAAATGAATAGAAATGCAAATTAATATAGTTCTACATTTAGTAAATCGTTTTGTGTAATTGAATTAGTTTACTGTTGTTGAATCCTAGTACGATCTGTTTCAAAATACGGTGATCATCGATATCTTTTGAATAACTTTTCAACAAAAAGAGCTAGAACCTTGCGATTTTTAACATTCAACAGAGGACAGTTTGGAAAGTAGATCTATGAATCTCCGCTGCGGATCAGGTTTACCATGGTAAGCCGTTCTAAGCAAAATGTCCGAACTTACCGCTCCTAGGACAGATAATGAATTTTGAATTCTGAAACGTCAGCTAGAATCGTCAGACCGTCCTCTTTCAAACTATGCACGATTCAGGTTTTCATTCCAAATGGCTGAAGTTTTCCGGGAACCCATCTATCGTTCATAGTTTTGGCTTGGGAATTACAAAGAAAGATGGACTATAGGTTATCGACATGGCTGATCATCGTGGCAATATTTATTTTCTTTCTCAGATCACAGAAAGTTTAGCTGAGTCGATTTTTTCAAAATCCACTTTTTTCTCCTATGTCCATGTAAAATTATAATATTCATAAGTCAGTCATTTCTCATCCAAACAAACTGTAAGCTTCATGAAATATTCAAAACAAGTCAGGGATTATAAATCAGATCGATAAAAATGAGTTTGAGCCACAAATCCATCGAAGGTTTGCCAGAGATCTCGTTAAAAATCTCGGAGATTATATATTATCTTACGCACTTTATCTCATATTTTTGATTTATACCCTATTATAAAATAAATTCGAAGTTATCAAGATTATTTGAAAACTTTACACACCCCCAAGAACAAATTTTCTCAATTTATTATAATTATTGGGTTATCAGCTGTGAGATACACAAAGGCCGAAATTTAAATAGAAAACAAAATTAGTTTTTTTTTGGCGTCGAGCAATAACCTTAGCAAGTAGGTCATTCTGTATATATAATAGGCGGCGGCAACATTGAAATAAAAATATGACCCTGGATACAAATTTTATCTGATGTAATGAGCAAATATGATCATAAAAATAAGTTCTGTTTTCTCTATTAAATTAAAAAGTAAATTGTATCAACAACTGAAAGGTCAGCTACCAATTTAATACTCTGATGCTTTCGAAGATTAGCTAATTAATTGCTTAAACTAAACCTGAAATTTTAATCCAATATCCAAATCTAGCAAAAAAATAGAAAAAGGAATGGTAAAATACAATGTTTCACCTTTTTTCAGGTTATCTTAGCTTATGTCTTCGCCAATTTGTTATGTGCGAAATATGGAAAAATGTATTGTTGCATAATTATTTCGCATGTGATGATTGCTTTTTCTTTTATGACACATTAAGTTAAATAGTTTAATTGTTCTTTCTATGTATATATAAATACAAAAAAAAGGAAAAAAATTTACTTTTTTCTTTTGTTTAGTACGCATGATCGGTTATTATTTAGAGAATAATCGTTGAGTAGTCGTTACAGTCGTCATCATTCTGCAATTTGTATATAAAACTATGTATTCGTAAAAAGGTGAATTTTATATATAAATTTCTTTCTGTACAATGTTGTTAAGTATTAGTAAGATGTATACAGATCAAAATGAATAGTTAATTAGTTTTTTAAGCATTAATACCAGAAATAATAAACATGTTGCAACATCCTTTCTTAACTACGGCCGCTTATGCAGGTTATCCAAATAAGATTAATACTACAAGAGCTGGAAACTATGATTTACGTGTAATTGTTATGCGTCATGGGGAACGAATTGATCAAACACTCGGTCCCAATTGGCTTAAATCTCCTCAGGTTCGTGCACAAATTCCAAGAAGACTACCAAAACGTGCAAATCAATTGTTATATGCATTTGATCCACCGATTACGCGAGAAGGCGAACAAGCATCTGCTCTAAAAGGTCAACAATTAATGACTATGGGACTAACGGCTGATTATTGTTATTGTTCACCGACATCTCGGACAGTCATTACAAGTGCTGATGTATTAATTGGAATGAATCGAGCAGCTGTTCCTTTAAAGATTGAACCGGCATTGTTTGAAACTATGTCGTGGAATCCACAATTACAGTTATTGGGAAATGTATCGCCATTTATGTCTACGCAAGATTGGACAACAGCAGGATACACTGTAGATCATCGATATCACCGTTTAACCAACTATTTAAATCCAAATGAAACTGAACAGGACTATTACAACCGTAGTGCACAATTTTTACATACGATTGAAAAACGACACGGTTCTGGTCGTTCACGGAAGACTGTTCTGGTTGTTGGGCATGCATCTTCGACAATAATTTATCCAACCATAGCCTTGCGTCATCCATTCGATGCAGTTAAATTTGGACAAGACTGCGGAAACGTACAGTATTTGAGTACTGTAATATTAGAAAGAGATGCCTACTCCAAAATTTGGTCAGTAAAGCACTTACGATGAATTGGTTTAGTTTTCTGATAACATTAGAAAACATCCCCTTAGAAACGCATGACGCAGAAGTGTATCATCAAGAATTTGACAAGCTCTATCCAACGACGTTATTCCTCACAATGAAAAACTGTACTTAGATAGGAACAACATTGTTTTTTTCCCTGCAAGATTTGATTTGTACAATTAGTATTCTTAGCGGCTGTTCTCACTATAACGTGTATCACCATTCAGTATTAGTATGTCAGATGAATGTTGACGAGCTCTGTCGAACGATATATCTGGTGTCAGCTGACTAGATCGACAAAACTTCAAAATTCCTGCTATTACGAATTTTTTAGTGTTCATATTAGTCGGAATGTCTTTTAGTATTGCAGGATTACCTAATTAGAACGCATTTGTCCATGAAAGTACCTACTTATTCATCTTTTCAGATAATCTCATAGAAAATACTTGATAATCACTTTCGAATTTTTATATTAATAAATACTTCATGGCTAATGCCGTTATACTACCAGTTCAATATATAACTGCCCTAGTGAATGTACTCATAACGTGAGTACGGCTTACTTACATATTAGTGCGCGGATACTTTTATAAGAGTACTACCAAAAATTCGTTTAGTTCATTTTGTCCTATTTATTTTGTACATAATATAATCTAATACAGCAAACAGCAACAAGATTAAACAACGATAAGCTTGCTTAACAAACGGTTTTCAGAACAAAGATCATTGGTCTTATCTAGTTGTGCATAAAACACTAGTGAATATGTCACCCTCATCTTCATATAGTTTCAAACAAGGCCAGTTCAATCTTTAAAGGAACAGCTGCTCGATTCATTTCAATTAATACATCAGCACTTGTAATGACTGTCCGAGATGTCGGTAAACAATAACAATAATCAGCTGTTAGTTCTATAGCCACTAATTGCTGACCGTTTAGAGCAGATGCTTGTTCGCCTCCTCGCGTAATCGGTGGATTAAATGCATGGAACTTATGTTCATTAGTTTGAATTGATGCATATATTAAAATTGACTCTTTATCATTATTCTGAATTTATAGGGTCAACAAGAGGCCTGAACCTGAAACTCACCATACTCAGAAAACTATCCTTTTTAGTAAAACTTCAGTTATAAACTTATACATGATTATTTTTCAATGAAAGTTTGTATATAGACGTGAATACATGTCATCTCAGAACCCTTTGATTCAGCGTGGTCGATAACCTATGTTTCCATGCGTTTTCAGATTTCTACATATCAAGAAAATTGGGCTCTGAGATGTCTCAGGAAAAGTTTGCTCCTGTCCGAACGATCGTAGATGGAGCTGACAGGTTTTAGCTGATATGTAGACTAGATGCTGCTCTATGTTAGGCGTATTTTCAAACATTAGACTTGTATGAAAAGTTAGGACGTGGCAATCTTATCTTTAGAACATCGATCAGGTACACTGTGGTAGACCTCATTAGTAGAGCTGATTTATGGATAGGAAGATGCTGTCAGGTCCTGGCTACAAGGCACTGGAAACCGCGGGTCTTCATCTTGTTCTGTT